ATGTAGAACTACTGAACAAAAGAGCTAAGGGAAGAAGCAGGAACATGAACAAAGGGTGGAAGCCTATAAAAATTTATGTCAATGATGGCTCAGGAGGTTCAAACATAAAGTATGCAGAAAGTTATAGAGTTTTATGCGCTAAAAGGTGAAAAGCCTTCCTTTAAGAACAGCTATTCTAACGCATATCCTCAAAAAGTTAACGGATGGGGAAGTGGATGATATGAATGACAGCAAAAATATTAACAGAAATGGCGACAGAGATGCATGGAATTTGTTTACCATCAGTCAATTGAAGGTTAAACTTTAAAACAATGTTGGTCGTTCCATGGAATATTTTTGACTTTAATGGTATTAGTCATGATATGAATCTCAAGGTATGAACGAGGAGAGATGAGAGACTTATATGCTCCCAAATTTCTTCAAAAGGTAATGTTATACCTGACTGTTTCCAAATGAGTTCAATATCATAACGTGAGAAACCTTGAAAGATAACGAAGTCAGTTATGAGACGTTTTATGTTTAAAGCTAAAAAACCTCCATGTTTGCATAAGTATTGCTACAGTTAAGTGGTAATGTCTGACTTTAGTAATGATGTTAGCTAATGGTGAGTCAGGCTTTGACACTAAACCTTTTCCGGCGAAGTCGTCGCAAACGAGCAGAGTGTTTGAAGGATACTTTTTGAAGGGGTATTTTGAAAGTTTTGATAGAATGTAGTTTGTAAGTCGTTCATATCGTAAACTCCTGAGTACTGACGTAAGTGGTGTTTGTCAATAATTCTTTCCATCTCCTCAGAAGTCTTTTGCATTCCTGACTGTATAAAATTCAACGAGGGCATAATATTCCTCTTACGTCGAATGTAACGTTGAAGAAATTCAATGAGTTCACTGTCTGGAACTTTAACGACAGAGGCTTGAACTTTTGACATAAATGTTTTCGCTGTTGAGTCCATAGAGTCTGAAGTTGCTGATATAATGATTTGGTCATAGTAAGAGTCGTTTCCTAAACGCTCTGTTATGAGTATATGACGAATGAGGTTAAATGTCTTACCTGAACCCATCTTTCCACAATAGAAATACACCCATTTGAACAGCATTCATAATCTTTGCTGAAAGGAAGAATAAGAGAAGAGTTAAGTTTGTCTGTAGTTTCATTCATGTCTTCATCTACGTCATGTATTAAATGCTTCATTTTATCTCCATTAAAAATGCAAGTCAGAAATATTCAGAACATAGCACCGAGTCTAACTGACAAGAGTATAAAGATATACTATGAACACGTTATGATGAAACCTACCAAAATTCAAGAAAGTCAGTATACTTATGAATATCCAAGACACTGGTAGAGTATGTAGGAGGTGAGAAAGCTATTGAAATCAGACAGGTTCGAAGTATTCCAGCAGGAAGAACAATATTATTGAAGAACTTTAATGTTTTGAGGTATAATGATGAGACAAAGAAGCAAGATAGTTTTCCTATTGCTGTGTATGTGAACCTAGACACAGAGATGACATGAAAGTTTTTAATACAAAGCTTCAAACGGTAGTGAGAGAACAACTGACTGCGGAAGGACACCCATTACCTTCAGAAGTTAGCATAGCATATAATTTTGAAACAAACTCAATAGATTTTAAAGTCGTCTCTGCAAAGAAGTCAGGTTTTACATTTAATGAAGCAGATGTATATTCGAATGAAAATTCAAAGCTATTGCATGGTTAGATAATGACGATTGCTTTAAGAAAATATTTAAATTCAGTGACTCAAAGATGTCAATAGATGACCTTCGTGGAATGTTACCATCGACGTTTACAGTTGAAGGTTCAGCAGGATTGCTTACAAGATTGTCAATTGGTGGTATTTGGTCTCGTGAGAACATTGTTATAAAATCCAGTATAAGTGAATTTGCTGAAGAATCTATATTATGTCTTTCAAACTATATGTATTCGCCGCCGAAGCATTATAGTATAACAAACTTTGTCAGTAAGTTTAATATAAGACTTGTCGAACCTTCTTCAATGAAAGATGTTGTGCTACCTAAAGATGGAAAGGATGGACTCATTATTGAAATGATTTTAATAGCATATTAAATGAGCTTGTTCTTGAAGGTCATTCATGATGAAATAACTGTTGTAGAAGATGTTAGCAATTGTTCAGACATTTTATTGAGAATAGATGATATAAGAAATAAGTTAGATAGACCGCAAAGCGGTGAGGGCGAAGCCCGTGAGAACGCTTATGTTTCATTGACTTTCTCCAGTAAAGAGAACTTTTATGAGATAATATTGAAGAGAGATGATTTTAATATGGTGTAAATGGTAGCTTGGGCAGCTTTAGGCGCAATGGGAACAAAAGCATTAGCATTTGGAGCAAAAGCACTTGGAGCTTATGACGCAGTAAATAAAATGAGTGGAGGAAGGGTTTCGAAGACATTAGATGCAAATAAAGGAAAGATTGGAGGCTGGGTTGCAAAGAAGTTAAGATTAAATAAAATCGGGCTCATAAATAAAGCATCCAATTTGGTTGCGACTGAGTCAGAAAATGCTTTAGGAAAGGACGATGAGTTTGCAAAACATGCAAAAGACTTTAATGACCAGATGAAAGGTGAAACAATGCATTTAAATAGAGTCGATGGAACTCTTCCTCCACCAGTAGTTCTTCCGTATGGTCCCTATGGAATGTATGGAAACCCTTACGAAAGACCATTTGACCCATTGACTGGTGGAAGTAACTGGTATCATTACGGACGAAGAAGAAAGACAGTCAAGTTGGAGACAGACGTGAAGAAAGCAACTAAAAAGAAACCAAGGAAGAGAGTTATAAAGTAATGAGAACGTTTATGTTATGAGAAATTTTTAACGTTAGTTTTATTTTTACTGAAAATTTTTATTTGGATGTAATGACGAAAACTATTGAGATAACAAACTACAACGGTCATGAGTTCAAGAACTTGTTCTTCGTTCCTCGTGAAAATACATTCTATCAGATACGAGGGAGAAAGGGTAAAGTTAGTTTAAGCATTTATGACAACAAACATAATGGGAGATATATAAAAGCAATAGATACAAACGGTAAGCGTGTTTCATTAGCTTTGTCAAAACTTACTAACATTTATTTTGACAGTGACTTTGACTCTGACGATTGGAGTGACAGCAGCGATACTGAAGAATATGAACTATTGTGTGAAGCACAGCAATGGGAAGCGCTGCAATACTTTTGTAAATGAGAACATTAGTGGGAACGTTAGTGAGAACGTTTATTTTTTCATTAGTGAAGTCGTTAGCGAAATGTTGGTGAGGTGAAGTGGTTGGTGGTTTTGTAAATATTTAAGGTTAAGTTAGTGTTTGTGTTTGTGTTGTAAAATATACATTAGCGGTTTTGTAAAGTGTCAAATTCACAAGTATTGGGTAAGGTGGAACGCAGTGCCGCCGTACCCAAGACTTGTATACTAACTAAATGTGCATATCTACTACGTGCTTTTTCAAAATTACTTTTTGCATTTTCAGTTAAATTGCAGAAGTTATAAACGTTATCGTATGCTTCATTAATTAAATGCTTAGGTAACGAATTAATTGCTTGAAACAGTGTGAATAATGTAACTTCTTTTTCTAAATTCATGTTTCCACCGTCATTATGTACTTCAAAATCACCGATGCCATCAACTATGCTCTGGGCAAGTTTATCGTCAATGTTTACATCTTTGTTTTCATTCATGATAGTCTTTATTGCTTCATTCTTCTGTTCAACTCTTACCTTAATATTCAAATCATTTAATATATCATTCACTGTTCTAGTTAATGTTGAATCGTAACTTCCACGAATGAATGAGTATGTACTGATTGGTTCTGTTGCATTTTTGCGAACTCTTGAATCAGCCATAACTACTAAAGAACGCTTTGAATCAGTCATAGAAGTCATTATGTCAATATCATAATCATTGCAGGAATAGCATTTAATCATTCTGTTCGAAACTGAATAAAAGAAATTAGTGTTACAATAAATGTGAAGACCTCCTGAAGCGGTTTTAACGATAACATCTTTATCCGAAAGTTTTGATAAAATATCTTTTCTAACTGTTTCTTTAAGTTCATCATTGTACGATTTATTGATATCAACATCTATAATCGTTAAATTTGAAATTTTATTTACTAATAAAGCCATACCAGTTTTCCTTCCTCTTCCTCCATCATGTTTGAGGTAGTTATGTAAATCAATCTTGTTTTCACCAATTCTTTCGTTGAGGGTTTTAGTTTCTGCCACAACTAATTCCTCAGCTAATGAATCAATAACTTTTTCATCAGAAATGATATAGTTGCTGTTGTTGTTTGTTGCTGTCATTTATATAGGAATAAAAAAATAAAAATAATTTTAAAACTAACTTTATTTTTGGGCTGCATCAAATTTCCTGTGTTGTTGTCAAAATGTCATGTTGTCATCATTTTTCAGAGAAGTTAATTAACCAGGTGACACATGGTGACGTAGTGACACCTTCAGTTATTCAAAAATAATTAATTATTGAATAACCTAAAAACCATTAACGATAAAATATATTTTTGGTCGTTTATGACAAAAATAAATGGTTCATTTACTCACAATATTTTTGTACAAAACAACCCCAAACTTTTAACTTCTTTTCTGCAGTTTCTAATGCTATCTTAGCGAGTTCATATTCTCTAAATTCTCTCTTTAAATCTTCTTGTTCCCATTGGTCTAGTTCGTATGGAGAATCTCTATAACCATAACATATCTCACGTTCATGTTCTAATTGTTTTTCGCACATTTTTCTAACTTCTTCTTCAAACAAAGGTTTAGCATTCTCTACTGTATCTTCAACTTCTTCTTATCTAATTTCTCATGAACTTTCTTGTCTATGGAGTCCATAATATCTTTGACATAAAATGCATACTTTACAGAGCACCATTCAGCAACAAAATGAACGAGGTCAGGATGTATGTAAATACCTTTGAATTCATTTATAACGCCCTTAGTAAGCTCATAAAATGCTTGTTATGAGGTCGAGCCACTTTTGGCTTGACCGTATTCGTTCATCCAAAACTCAAGAATTTCCTGCATTTTAGTACTATTGAGAAATCTGTTTAAATGGTTTAACCTTCCCGCTTCTCTTGCCATCTTTGTTGCATTAATGTAACCATCCTTGTCTCTACGTAAGACTTCAATACCATTATAAGTGCCTTTTGTGAATGTTTCGCCATTAGATTTGTTCGTGAATGTTTTTGCTTCGAGTGACATTTCTGTTCTTACATACAAAATAAAAAAAATAAAAATAATTTTAAAACTAACTTTATTTTTGGGCTGCATCAAATTTCCTGTGTTGTTGTCAAAATGTCATGTTGTCATCATTTTTAAGAGAAGTTAATTAACCTGGTGACACATGGTGACGTAGTGACACCTTCAGTTCTTCAAAAATAATTAATTATTGAATAACCTGAAAACATTAACGATAAAATATATTTCCTGTGTTGTTGTCAAAATGTCATGTTGTCATCATTTTTAAGAGAAGTTAATTAACCTGGTGACACATGGTGACGTAGTGACACCTTCAGTTCTTCAAAAATAATTAATTATTGAATAACCTGAAAACATTAACGATAAAATATATTTCCTGTGTTGTTGTCAAAATGTCATGTTGTCATCATTTTTCAGAGAAGTTAATTAACCAGGTGACACATGGTGACGTAGTGACACCTTCAGTTCTTCAAAAATAATTAATTATTGAATAACCTAAAAACCATTAACGATAAAATTTATTTCTGCAGTTCATCCATTACTTCATTACCTAATTAATTACAGACATAAAATATATTTAGTTCATTCGGTAAGCCTTAACCCAAAGGTCTGGGCTCAAGCGCGTTCAATGAACGCGGTACCATGCAAATACAGTCATAAATGGTGGCATATAATCTTTACCCAAGCCTGTTGGATTTGTTGTGAAAGTATGGACATGATTTCCTCCTGGTTCAGTTTGTCGAAAAGTCTTTTTTGTTGAATCGTTATAAGCTGGAGATAAAACATCATAACCAGCTTCATAGTCTGAGTTATATAATGGGTGGTCTCTTAATGAGTGTCTATGGTCGCCAGAAAAGTTTGTCGTTCCTGTATGAGTGTGCGGTGGAAGGTTTGCTTCTTTAATTTTCTTTGAACCACCGGCTTGTTTTGAATATCTAGCACAGTATAAGAATTTGTTTACAATCTGCTTCCATTCACCAAAACCTAAAACATTTGCTGGATTTGTTGAATTTATTGACGTATAAATAGAACCAACAGGATATAATGTTTGAAGTATTTCAGTCTTTAATGTTTGAAGCTCTGTTTTGTCAGCCTTCTTCTCTAATTCAGTATTAACATATTCCTTATCTGCTTTAAGGTCTAAACATCCTGAAACCCATCCTGTATCAGCTTTAACTTTAAAAGTCTCCGATGTCCATTTATGATACCATTCAACCTTTTCTTTAATTTCATTATCTTTTTCATCAACATAAACCAAATTTGCCTTCTTCATTAATTCACTATCCACGTATTCCTTATCTACCCTCTTCATTATGTCATTTAGGAAACCTTCTATGAATTCCTCATTTAAATTAAATCTTCCAATCTTCAAAACTTTAGGAAATGCATTTAATGCGTAATATCTATGTTCTTCTGGTGGAATTGATGTTATATCATCCGTTATTCCTTTAATTTTTGAATTCATAAATAAAATTTCTTTTATATTTGATATCACTTATATTCTAATTTTTATTTAATGATAAATGAAACCGATTTTAAAAATAAATGAAACAGAGGAGGAAGAAATAAATGAAAGTGAAAATGTTCAACAAAAAATAAACGTTGTTAAACCAATTACTGAAATAAAAATTTTTTCATCTGTTGAAGAATTTAATGACTATTATGCTAATAATAAAAAATTATTTGAAGAATTGACAACATGTAAATTGAATAAAATGTTTAAAGTTGATGGATTCAAAATTTCAAAAATAAAAGGAGTGGTTAGTTTGAAATCTATTCCTCAATCAAGAATCACCTCATTAATGAAAATTGATGATTTAACAAAAAGAATAGAAGAGATTGAAGAAAGAATGAATCAAATAATTGATTTCATAAATTCAAATAATCATTAGTTTCTTAAAGTTCTATGTTGAACTCATCAAATTCTTTTTAAAGTTTATGAGGTCTTTGATTATGACTCCATTGATTCTGTTGTAAACAGAAATTCATCAAAAGTGACACCTCAGAAAAGCTAAAATATTGAATTTTTGGAACTTTTGATAGAGCACGTTTTTAAATATTAATTAAAGTAAATGTATATTTTGTAAAGATTCTTTTTAATAAAAAAAATAAAATTTTGAAGAAGAACACAAAATCTTCTGAAAAATAATATCACATAAACTCATATTATTTTCTAATATATAACTATTTTATATAAAAATCAAATTCAATGATCTTAAAAGCGAAGGATAAACCTCAAAATTTACGAATATAATGAGTGGGAATATAATGCTTATCTATCATAAAACCATATGAAATATCAATTTTTGCTTTACGCCTAATTTTTGACGACAATTAGCAAAAAATGTTAAATGTTAACACTCAGTCCATTTGAATATGAAAAATAAAATTGACTTTGATTAAATGTTTTTATTTATCATGCAATTCTTCTTGCGACCAAAGATTTGAATAAAACTTCAAAAAATAAGATAGCTTAAAAATAATATACGGTAGTGTTTACTAATAGATGAATAGTATATAAAAAAAAAAAAGGTAGTGGGGCCTCCAGGCACTTCGTGCCCTCTAGCCCTGAAGATGTTTAGTATAACTTTGTCCGGACAAATAAGGGTCTATCGTCGCTACAGGAAAAGTTACGGGCGTCCCAAGGAAGTATACTTTGAGAAGCCTTTCCCCCTTATAGAATGAGATAGGACGGTTATTTTACAAAACTGACAACACTTTGACCGAGTAGTTTTTTGTGCTGAACAAAAAGTGTCATATAAACATCTGTCAAAAACCGTTTTTTACTTCACTTAAAATGCCACGTAAGCTACGTAAGAATATACGTAAGAGGAAGAGAGCATTGAAACATCCAATAGTAAAACTGACACCACAACAACAGTTGCAACAACAAATGATGAATGACCCCACTATGTTGCAACAAATGTCAAGCAACCCTATGCTTTTAAACCGAGTTATTGGTGCACAGAGTGGAGGTTTAAGAGCGGCACTTTTAGCGAAAATGGCAGGCTATGGTGGAGCTGCAGACGGAACAGCTTATAACCCTCAAAGTCAAATGAATTTGAGTTCACTCAAAAATCAAATAACAGATGTCAAAAAGTCAAACATAGACATACAGAAGCAAATAAGTGAAAACGAAAAGAAACTAGAATATGACAGACACACAAAGAAACTCAATGAGTTAAACGTAGAGAAAAAGAAGAAAGAAGAACAACTGAAAGAACTAAGTACAGAGGAATATGCGAAAAAAGTGTCAGAAAAAGCAGCAGAAGTAGCAAAAATGGAACAAGATGTTATAAATTTGAAAAACCATACTACTCAATATAAAGTACTGAAAGATGAAGAGATAAAACAAAAAGCCCTGAAGACATATATGGATAGCGATGAGTATAAAAAAGAAGTTGAAGCAAATGTAAAGGCAGAAAAACTTTTACAGTTGCAAAACCAAACCGTACAGTATGAAAACTTAGCACAAGAAAGTAAAAATAACGACGCAGCCATGCAAAAGGCAATGAAAAGCGCAGAATATATAAAAGCTAATAATGACTGGTTAGATGCCCAAGCCAACGCTAAAGCAGCCCAACTTATAGGGTCAATAAGGACAAAAATACAAGCGGATGAAGACAGTTCAAATGAAGCTTTAATGAATGCTGACTTTAAGAACGCCTTCGAAGCTCTTCATAGTAAGGTGAAACTAGTGAACGACTTCTCATCTGGAAAGAAACTGAAGTCTGAAGGTTTCGACAAAGAGTTAAGAGAAGTAGCACAAAATATGACGAAAATAACAGATGCAGCAACGAGACAGGCAGTTCAAAGTGCCTATGACGCCGTTAGAGCAACTGTTGTGGAAAGTCAAGAAAAAGAGTTACAACAGACCAAAACAGACCTAGTAAATGCTTTCTTAAAAACGAAAAGTCAGGTAGGACATTATGCTGCAGATGGAACATATGTGCCAGCTGGTGGAACTTATATACCACCAAACCCTCCAAGAGAAGCACCTGCACCAGGACTACCTAAAACATTTACATCGTCACATGGACACAGACACAGGCATGCACCAAAACAACAACCAACAGTTCAAAATCCAGCACAACAACCAACAGTTCAAAACCCTGCACAGCAACCAACAGTTCAAAACCCTGCACAACAACCAACAGTTCAAAACCCTGCACAACAACAACCACAAACAGAGCAAGGACATAAAAGAAGTAGAGAACAAGGAAACCAAGAATTCTTAAAAATGCTTAAGGAAAATTATGGTTACCCAGATACTCTTGACTTTAGTGACAGATATAAAGAAGCTATTAGAAAGTTCAAGGAAGGAAATACTGACCCGAACCTATTTAGCTTTATGGTTCAGCACCAAATGGGATATAATTTCAAACCTGGAAAATACAAGCTCGCTAAGAGATATGATTTAATAGCATATCATCCAAATGACATGGATGAATTTACTCCGAGATATTTGGTGTCAGAGCTAAATGATAATTCAACTCTCTTCATGAAACGCGTAAAAAATAGAGACGGAACGAAAGAAGAAAGGTTTATGAGTCCGGATGACTTAGATAGGGAACTTTTTAAAAACGGTCTCGGAATATATGAAATGCCAGCAGATGAGGTACAAGAAACTCCACAGGAAGAAGTTCAGATACAACCAGACATGGAAGAAATAGTTCAGCAACAACAGCTAGAAGAGCCTGAAGGAAACGAACAAGTCCCTCCTTTGGAAACTACAGAAATAAATGACGCAAGACTGAAACATTGGGTAAAAGCTTTCCCATTCACAAAAGATATTATTGGTAACATGGAAAGAAAACCAGAATGGCTACAAAAACATATATTTGGAAACGAGCTTATTCCATATGGACAAGCTATATTTGAAGAGCTTGAACCGGAAACTCAGGAAAGAGTCATGCAAACAATACGCGAAGACTCAAATACAAACTATGACAAAATCTTTCTAGGATATAGGTTACCTGAGATGGGCGACCAGAGCCCAAAGGCAAAAAGGACATGGGAAATTTACAACATACTAGGTGAACATGAGGCAAAGATGCAACAACTTGAAGCAGAGGGCAAGTTACCAAAAGCGACACCAAAGAAGAAGAGTAGAACAAAGTGAAAGTAGTGAAGAAGTAATTCATCTAGTGAAGTAGTAGCAATGAAGGAAAAAGAAGAGTTAAAAACTCAGTCAGGAAGAAAGTAAAGCTTGGTCCGAGTGGGTTCTATTATGACATATAAATCCAACTATTCTATATTTTTACCCATATGAAATGTACGCCGCTCAGAATATAACGCCAACAGTTTTGGATGCCATGAACGGAAATGTTTCCGAATGGTATAACGAATGCGACAATGCCATTAGAAGGTCAGAAATAGTTCCTGGAACTTACGAATATACAACTGCTGTTTCTTATGGAAACGTAGGTGAGTTTGGAGAAGTTCTTCAACAACAGTAGATATTGCTTGCGACAGGTTTCATATTATTTCTATTGAAACTCATTCTTATACGTGGAACAAGACATTGAAATAAAACCTTCTGCCAAGTTGTCTGACAAGAAAGGTTGCAATGGAATTTTCTATGTCGGATACCAATATGCTCCAGAAGTTTTCATGGGATATAAGATATATTCTAACTCTGACTTAGTTTCAAACAGTAACATGGGCAAACTATGAATGGTTCGCTTTGAGAAACTCAGTACAACCACAAGCTAGAGAACAAACAGACCAGTATGCAACTATTGAAAATAAGAAGACTTGACCCTAACGTTCCAGGAGTTTATGTTAACCTTTCTGGTTCAGATGGAACTGCTGCCACTAAAGTAAAACTGAAACTTAGAGTTCCTTTGTCATCTTTCCTCAGTCTTCAGGTTTTTAAGATACTTGCCAAACTGGCAGGAAAATTTCTATTGAACTTACTCCAAGCAAAATAACTTAGTCATTGCACCAACACAAGACCCATTCACTCTTACAGACGTAATGGAAACAAATAAAACGTCATTCGCCGACTTTTGCAAAGACAAGTTGACTTAGACTTTGGTTTCTCAAACTTCAACAATGAAGTAAACTATTATTTCAATGCTGCTGGAACTGCTTGGGACCCAGTTAAGTTCACATGCAAAAGTTTGAATGCAAGAGAATAGAAAGCAGACTTGCAGTCTATATGTTGGACCCAGATATTTCAAATGCTTTAGCTGCCAAATATATTGCAGTTCCACTTATGTTCCCTATACACCAAATATCTGTCAAAGACTTTGCAGGTGAAGTTGGAAACCAAAGTGCTGACCAGGTGCAAGAACAGATATTGCTTTAACAACTGCAATGAAACATGCAGATACTATGTTGTACTGTTCAGACGAACTATAAATGACTATTCTTGTTTCTACAACCCCGTATTAAATATCATATAAACATAGATGGCAAATATTATCCAAGAGAAGAATATTCTACAGTTGAGGATATGAGGTCATACAACTTGACATTAGATGCTATGAACTTTAACAACAACTTCACAACAACCATTAACCCTGAAATGCAAAGTTCTATTATGCCATATGTGAAAGTATGGACTCATACAGGAGGTCAAAAAACTCAATATACAAATGGAGACCGTTCAAACTTTTGGCTTGGCATTCCATTTGCTGACTCAGAAGACTTTATGGGTGGTATTTCAACTGTTGGTACAGTTCAAATACAATATACTGGTGACAGAGACGGTCCAGATGAACTGAGAGCAAAGAAGTTTACAAACCAATAGCACTTTTCACGGAAGATGCTCTTTTGAAGATTCGTTCGATGAAACCTGCTGGGGCTCCTCAGATTGGCATAACGACAGCTTCCATCGAGCAGATTTTGGCAGCAGGTCAGTAAGTTGTTCTTGAACTGACTTCTCTCCGTCAAATATTGACAGTACGCCAGTTTTGACATAATATTGTAAGATAAACTTACCTTTAGAAATATCTGTAAGTTTTGTTGTTATATTTTTGTCAACGTCAAGAACTTTCACCATTTCAGTTATACCAACTTTCTTTGCTTTATGAAAATATTTTGGTTCAGCAAATATTGCTATTCTATAACATTTTCCATTGTTTGTGTAAAGAACTATTCTGTCAATGTATTTGTATTGTTTGTGTGTGTAAACTTTGTTCTGCTTCAATTCGAAGAGATACTCAAATGCGTCATATTTTATTCGAAGTAAAATGTCATTTCCGAAAAATAGAAGCGTAAGTGTTTCAAAAGGTTTAATGGCGGTGGCAGATGTGAAGTTAAATTCACCAACTCAAACAAACAGTCAAAGTGTTGTTGTCAATGTCAAAGACAGAGATGTTGAAGTGGGGAAACCATACGAAGACGAAGATGGTATAACAATTGTTTCCTGTAAAAGAACCAACATATCCTGAAGTTAGGCAGAGACTTAAGTTCTGTTGCAGATATTCGAAACGACTACCAACAACTGAAAGACAAACTTCAAACTCAGGAGAAGATTTGTCAAGCTTTAAGTATAATGTTAAACTTGGTCGAACACAACCCTGTAAAAGTGAACTCATATGTCATTGCACCTCATGAAGTTTTGAAAGAACTATTGAAACTTTTGACAGAGGCAGACGATATAAACATCAAAGAAATAGAACCCGACATTAGTTGCTGTGGTGTTTCATATAATGTCATTGAAAGATATACGTTATGAAAGGAGGTGAAACGTTGAACTTAAAGTATAGTTTCCCAGACGTCATAAAAATATTTGACGACCACAACATTTCATTAAATTTATTTGCTAAGTAAAAATGTCAAAAACTTCTTGAAAGATGTTTGAAGAAAAATAATATAGACTTTATTTCATGTAAAGGACTTTACACACTTTTGAACGATATGAAAGACCCTGTTTTTTTGTTCGTGTAGACAAAGGAAAGTTCTATGTCTTTACAAAATATTTGAACTTCTTAGACAGAGAACTTCAAGAAACGCCATGTGAAAGTTTAGATGAAGTTCTTCTCCACTTTCAGAAAAACTTTTAAAATATATAAATGGCAGAAGATATAATGGTTTATACTATTACGACTAAAAACCCTGAGTCATATAATTCTATAACAACAAACTTACAAAGTCCTCAAGGACGATATTGTAAACTAACCTTAAACACAATGACGACTAAAGCCTGTTTTGCTCTTTTGACACCAGAAGACTTTATTGTTGTGAATGGTAAAAAATACTCCTTTGAAGATACTTACTCAGATATACCACCAACAGGTTTTGTTGACTTATTTAATACTTTAAGTACGGGTGTAACATGTGCTGCAACTAGAGCAGGTTTCATTATGTTTGGATGTCCGACTGAGTTTACTATAAACGATATGAGCTATAATACAAAACTTATATCTGGTTTTTACTACCAACAGTTTCCTATAACAGGAAAAGGTGTCATACAAGGAATGTCTATTCCATTGACATTAAGCACACCAATCTTATATATTGTTTCAAACTTAGGTTCAAAGTGTTATTCGAATGTCGACAGAAACTATTATGACCAAAAGATACTTATGCGTATAAACAATACTTTCTCTGCTGGTTTGCCTATTGTTCATTCGAATGCAGAATTTTCAACCTTAGTGAACTCAAACACTTTGGCAAGTATAACGTTGACATTAGTTGACGCAAACTTTGTTCCTGTAAAACTTTATGTCCTATGTATTTGTCAATGACGGCAGAAAGTTTCGAATTGGAAGATGCAACTGGTGAAAGTATTGTATTACAAGAACAACTTCAACAACAAATAGCTCAAGAACAACAAATGCAACAAATGCAACAACAAAGTCAAGAATAAAAAAAATATTTTTTTTATTTTTATAAAAATGTACAGAATAGATGTTTCAGATTTTTATGACTTCCAAGCATTCAGAAATATGTGTCCATTTCGAGACTATAACAAAGCAGTCGAGAATTTGAAACGTTTAGTCATTTATGTTGACTCTGCCCCAGAATGTTATGTTATGAAAGAATGGGATGTTGTCTTTAACAAACCTAAGCGACAATAGTTTCAGAACAAGAATGTAAACAGAAACTTAAGAAAATAAAAGTTGTACAAGTTGGCATGAAGATGTTAGATGCTTGGGATATCTTATTGTCAAAGTTAGAAGATTTTTCAGTTCGAGGTATAAGTTCTATACACCTTCTCCAAACTTCTATTCTATCTTCACTGGATATAAATACGAACAAGTAGAATGGAAAGAAAATATTATAGAAGCTTGGTTAGACCATGTCAAAGAAATTATATGCAATGGAAACGAAAAGGTTTATGAGTATATCTTATGTTGGTTTGCAAACATCTTACAACATCCAAGTGCTAAAAATGAAACTGCTCTCATTATAATTGGAAAACAAGGAACTGGTAAGAACACATTCTTTACAGATATCTTATGCAAACTGTTAGAGGGCTATTCGAACCCGAATATGACAAACTTAGAAAACATCTGTGGCAAGTTTAACTCCTCAATAGAGAATATGAAACTTATATTGCAATGAACTTCAAAGTATAGATACAACAAAAGTTTTGAACTCAGATGCTTTGAAGAGTCTTATAACAGACAAAGTTGGAGTTGTTGAAAGAAAATATAAAGACCAAAGAGTTTGTGAAAATGTTGCAAACTTCATTATGGTTTCAAACAATGCTGTTCCGATGAAGTTAGAAAGTTCTGACAGAAGATATGTAGTTGTCAGAACGTCAGATTCTCATATGCAAGATACAGAATATTTTGACGACTTAGCAGAAACTTTGACATCTGACTTTTACAACCACTTGTTCTCATATTTTATGACATTAGATATTTCTAAGTTCAATCCAAGACAAATTCCACATACCGAAGAGAGACAAACATTGTTAGAAGCAAACAAGAGTGTATATGAACTGTTCATAGATGAAACTGACTTTGTGTCATTAGATGAAAGGTCATTGTACGATTCGTATAAACAATATTGTCAAGAATATGGTTATATGACAGCGTCTAAACGAACATTCTTGGCAAATGTCAAAAGTCTTTTAGACGTACAGAATGGTGTATATACAAAGAAAAATTTTTATGAGTAAATTTAAAAAAAAATATTTTTTTATCCGATAGAAAAAGATGACGAAATATATTTCAGTAAACAAGTACATGTCGGGACTTAAAGAAGAACTAGACCCATTCACATATTTGAATGTTTACTTCTACCATTTTGAAAAGTCTTCATTCAGCAAAGTTTGGAACATCGAACCAGTTAAGTTTGCTATTGTGACTAAAAATGGTGCGAAATTTGAAGACTTAGACATAGAAGGTTTGTTAGCAGTCAAAGAAAGTTTTGACAGAAGGTTTTCAAACCTTAAAGAAGGCAAAGCATACAAACTTGTTATACCTTATGAACCAAAGAAAGCAGACGACTATGAATATTATGAGTCTAAAGTTGTAGAAGTTCAAGGTAAATTGGG